ATTGCGCACACTCTTCACTATATCCATGTACACTGCTTTTTTCTCATAAATTAGAAAAATTTCACGAAAATGCATGAAAATTTTGTGAATCTTTAAATCTGGTTAAAAGAACATATATGAAATTACCTGATTGCGAAAAAGTATATACCCTTTCCAAGGATGAACATTTCGACGTATAAAATAAATAAAATATCCAAAAACTTTTACCTCTAAATTATCTATTACAGTCAAAAGTCGTTAATCCGGACTCGTCGGGACTTCGGCGATTCCGGATTATCGATTTTTCCGGATTATAGATCATCAGTTTAAATCTCGTAAGATGGCATGCAGAAATTCTAAAATTAAAAATATGTAACCGTAATTTATGAAATAAAGAACAATTATGATCTAAAGGGTATCAAAATTTGCAAAAAGAAAAAGCTTAATATTTATTTGTTTACTTTATTAAACATTTCTTTCAATGTAAGTTGATTAAGTTTTGCTTCGTTTCATGTGATAATACTTTCTCTTTAATTCTATTAAACAGACATAATTTCTTGTTCAGTTACAAAGTTCCGCTGTTCAAGTCCTATAATTGCTGTGTCGAGAACACCGAGTAATTTGTCAATCGAAATTTTTTCGTTTTCAATAACCTCTGTCACTTTCTTTGCTATCGGAAGCGAATTATAATGACGAGGAACTTGTTTTAAATCATATCAAAGACGGAGCATATCGAGATGAAATACTACATTTGGTAAGGAATTATAAGACAAATAAAATAAAAAGATCTGTGCTGAAGATAAGGATAATGCTGACAGATCAACTTCCAATTCATTATGCGCCCGTCGCGGCGTTCCCCCCGCCGAGCAGCGTGAAATTGATAAACAGATTTCGGATTTCAAAACATACTTTCGCTTTAGATCCTTTACATATTAACAAATATATATCGGAAATTCTATTTGATATAATCGAAAGTTTAAGCTTACTTTTGTAAAATTGCTCTTACAGTCTTCAAAAAATAATAAGCCGGATCCAATTCGAAAATTAAGGAGCAACGCAATCATCAACATTAACTGAAATAGATAATTAGATAATTTTAGCTTATATGTCCATTATACATAAAACGCGCACGCGAAAACGTATTCTGCACTTGTGCACACTCATATGCGCAGTCGTAAAAGGTCTTACACGCACGCGTAAACGCCTATGCGCATGTGTCAACGCGGCGCATGCGTAGAAAGTTTTAATTTTGATGTCCGGATTATAGATCATTCCGAATTATGGGTGTCCGAATTAACGACTTTTGACTGTATATTATAAATGTCACCAACGAATGTATACCGCAATCATTAAAAATGGTTACAAATACTTAGTGTCAAATATTTAAATTATTTCCATGCACGTTTACTTCAACTAGTAGTGGTTTGCTAATTTTTATGACTTTGGCGATCCATAAAACTATTCTGTCACTTTAGAATCAATAATATTTTTTAATTCAATTTAATCATCTAATTGTGTGTGTCACCTGAGATCTTCACAAAGGTTATTTTTGGAAAAGCATTAACAATATATTATCTGGTTAAATTGTTATTGTACATTAAGCCATAAATATTGTTTTTCTCATTATTTTAGATGAAAATAACCAATAATAAAAATAAAAACATTACTTAATTAATTATTTATAATGCATATTTTGGCAGCCCATGAAATCAAATTAATTTAGGGTTTGGAAACCTCATTGTTCTGCGTTCTTAACGTTTTGTGAACAGCGGTGTTACCAATTATGGCTAATTTTTGGAATGTGGTAACAGGTAGTTTAGCGACATTTTTGTAAGGCGATAAAGGTTACTAGCTAAGACTTTAGCAGTGTACATGGATAAAGTCAAGAGTGTGCACAATGCAATTTTTGTGCAATTCTGGGATGTTTTTTTAAGTGAAAATAGGTCGACGTGTACATGGATACGGTGTATGTGCTGTTCTTAAAATGCGGCAAGCAGTTTGCAATTCTGCACTTTCTCCCAATTTTACACCTAATCTTCGTCATGATTAAGAAGCACTTTTGTTCCATAAAAGTTCTAGCATAAGCATAATTCGGCTAGCAGATTGTTGGAAAAAAAAATGCCGAGTAAAAAAAAAAAAAAACATGCCTTTACTTTGTGAAAACAAAATGGCATCCAAACAAAAACTAGCAGGTTGCTGTAGCAGGGTTGGTCACCAAAAAATCGCCAAGTTATCATAATCCAAAGATTAACCCCAATTATCATTGACCCCCTCCTGCGAACCAGTATTTGTCACCGAAAACCTCCTTAATTATATGAAAATATTTCTATTTATTCTTAAAAGTTCATTAAAAATAGTGTGAAAATATGAAAAAATAATAATAAATAAGTGAAGAATAATTTAAATCGGCAATTGCAAATAATGAAGGTCATAATTCGACAAAATGAACATAAGAGGAATGGTTACAACTTTTGAACAAGCAAATACATAGGTTGAATCCGCTGGGTTACCAAGTTTGAACTATTATCGCGAAAGTTGGCAATGTTTACATTACCGAGTTCTTTGAGGAAGTGCTTCTGAAAAAATACATTTTTTTTCTATTTATTCTGAGAAATAAAACCAATAGCAACAGCTTTTAATTTATTATAACTTTTTCTTATTAATTTTAGATATCTGTACATTTTTTGGTTAAAGTGCAGAATCTCCCGCTTATTTGATTGGTGTTTGTTTGGCGCTTTTTCAAAGAGCAAGAAGAATTGAATTTTTGTCAATTTTCTTTGATTTTTTAAGTGAAAATAGATTGATGTGTACATGGATGAAGTCAAAGGAATGCGCAATGCCATTTTTGTGCAATTCTGGAATGTTTTTTAAGTGAAAATATGTCGATGTGTACATGGATCCCAAGTATGTGCAATTCTTAAAAACGTGTCAAGCAGTGGGTGATTCTGCACTTCCCTCCATTTGTTTACTCTGTCCATAGCTACTCAAAAAGATATATTGGTAGGATATAAGATAAAAGTTATTAATCTTCCCTCCCAAGTTAAATGGATATTACTGTAGTGTACGATTTCAAAAAAGTAAACCATTAGAATATTAAGCTGAAATTACAAGTCTGCAGCAAAGAGACTTTTCTTAAATTTGAACTATGCACAAAACCTTTCAGATGCATTCAAACTCTGAACTGGATAAGTTAATTAATTTACTATTGTGAAACTAATATGAAAATAATATTGTTGATAGTATAGTAAGAGAGTTAAGATGTGTATATTGTACCACCTAAGAATTTATATTCTCTACCACCAAAGAATTTATATAGTGTACCACCAAAGAATTTATGCTGGGAGAAAGCAAAGCTTTGATGACACCACAGAGCCAAATAAAAACTGTCTTAATTTTTACTCTTTTTATGTATAAAGTCTTAGTTGTTAATCTCATGTTAAAATGTATTTTCTAATACAGTATGAAGTCTTTAATCCGGACATCCATAATCCGGAATGATCTATAATCCGGACCTCAAAGCTACAAACTTTCTGCGCATGTGTTGCGTTCACATGTGCATAATACCTTTACGCATGCACATATGCATTTATGAATGCACATAATATGTCAGCGCAGGCGCGTTTAATGTGTAACGGACGGCATAAGCTAGGCTAAAATTATCTAATTATCTATTTCAGTTAATGTTGCAGATTGTGTTATTCCTTAATCTTCTAATTGGATCCGGCTTATTATTTTTTGCAGACTGTTAGAGCAATTTTATAAAAAGTAAGCTTGAACTTTCGATTATGTCAAACAGAGTTTCCGATTCTGGAGCTGCCAAAGAATCTACAAAGTGAAAGCATGTTTCAATGTCCATCAGACAAAAAGTGGAATTGCTGCAAAAAATGGATAAAGGCATGAAGAAAGTGACTGAAAGGTTAGCGAAAATAAAAAAATTTGGATTGACAAGTTAGTTGGTATTCTCGGCACAGCAATTGCAGGACTTAAACAGCGGAACTTTGTAACTGAACAAGAAATTATGTCTGTTTATAGAATTAAAGAGAAAGTATTAGCACATAAAATGAAGCAACTTAAACAACTTACATTGAAAGAAATATTTAATAAAATAAACAAATAAATATTAAGCTGCTTTTTTTTTTTTTTGTGTGTGTGTGTGTGTAAATTTTGATACCCTTTAGATCATAATTGCTCTTTATTTCATAAATTACAGTTTCATATTTTTAATTTTATAATTTCTGCATGCATCTTACCAGATTTAAATTGATGATCTATAATCCGGAAAAACCCCTAATCCGGAATTGCCGAAGTTCCGACGAGTCCGGATTAAAGACTTTGTACTGTATATAAGGATTGACAAATGATGGAAATTTACCTTAAACCTTTTGTTCTATACATACTTCATTAAAACCTTTTGTTCTATACATACTTCATTAAAATCTTTTGTTCTATACATAATTCAGCTTATGAAAGAAGTTAAAGCTATTCCAGCCGCCTATCCCCATATTAAAATTTTTTTGATTAAATCAGGTTCATGTGTAATGCATCAAAAATATAAATAAGCCTTCTGTATTATTTGTCAAATATCATTTTTCATGGCCTTAAATTGGATGTAAGATTTATTTCACAAAGTTAGGTTTTCACTTATGGTTCAAAACTTTTAAATTTATGTTATTTGAACCTGTTGCATTAGTCTTTATTTTAAAGAATATATTGTATGTCATATGGTGATGAAAGCAACCCGGCTAATATAGAAATTAAATCAGACTTTCTAATTAATGTTATTTGAAGCCATTGTGTTATACTTTGAGGAATATGATATATGGTAAATATCTGTGCTCATGTTTTAGAAAGGCATAACATTTTTTTTTTTTTTTTTACAGAAATAAATTACCTACCTAAATCTATTGTCATGGCAATTAATTTTTTTGAAAGAGGAAGATTATTTATACACCAGATGCTAAACCTTTATATTTTTACTGTGATCATGAATTTTTAAATGGTGATTTAATATCATTTTTCAGGTTGAACTGCCCTTCATTGAAAGGTTTTGTTCGATGTGTGGCCTGTAATGACAATACCTGGGTCTTTTCTTGTCAACAGAAATTTGTTACCCCAAAATCCAGAAAGGTAAAATACAAATTTTTATTTAAGTCTAATGTTCTTAAAATATATTAGAACATGTATAGTTGACATTTGATTATTAAAGTGATTACCATAACAAAATAAGCTGATTGAATTGCTAAATTTGTAACTTTTAAACATTGCCAGACTCTGTCTGCTTTAATAAGGAAGTAACATACAGTGCATATATAGCAGTGTTTTGATTTTGATTTATCATTTTATTCTGTTTTAATTATGAGTTCAATCTCATATAAATTGGGATACCTTATGCTCCAACATAAGGTATCCAAATTTATATAAGCTTGAAGTTATGCAGCTCCTTATTTTATTTTACATATTTATACTTGTTAATTTGTTTTGAAATAGTCAGTAATTCATAAAATGCTGATGAACAAACATTATTATGCCTATGTATAAAAATTAGCTGTAATGAAATGAGAAGCATTAAAGTATAATAATTTATGCTGATTCCTCTAAAACTCCATACCCTTCTTCAAAACAACACTTCAGTTATAACTGTGTTAACAGACAATGCAGTTATTCAACATTTTTATACACAGTGCTGTCACTTTCATACTTTGGTTCAGTAAAGTAAATGGAATTTGATATTCTTTATTTGTTTTTTTCCTGACATTATAATTATGAATTCAGTTGTCAGAAAAGAATGATTAAATTTATGAAAACATCAGCATCAGAATAACTCCATTTCTTGCACATTTACGTTTCCCCCCCCCAATGGCAAGCACTTGCCTGTGCCGTCATTAACCACTCCTGAGGCCAGATATGGTGGTCTCTTTATTATGGAGGCACCTAATAGGTGGGCCATCTTTGCATCCTATGAAGGGACAGACAATGTACATCCTTGCCTTCTCCGGGATTTGAACCTGGGCCCTTTGGTATAGTAATCAGGCTTCCCTAACCACTGTATCGTCTGGTCTTTAATTTTACACATTTACTTTAATATGCTATTTTGTATTGATATGGAATATGAAAATCACATTCTTTATTCCATATTTTCTAAAACAAGTGCTTTTTAGTCATTGGTTCTATTTAACTAAAATTCACATGTATTGTTTTATATGCAAAATAAGTAGGACCCCGACTAATTAGAATCTGACTTCAGAGCTTTCGTTTGATGCATCTATCACATAACTTCAGAACTATAACTGTGTTATATTTAATTTTTAGTGCTTAATGCATTCATACCGAGGCCAATTTTTATGTTCTTCGCCGCGAGGTGGTGCTCGAATTTTTTCCACATTTCACCATGTTCTGACGGCGCGATTATTACCTGTTCTGACCTATATAACGAGTCGTACGTTTGCTAATAGTACACTGACTAATTATAAGTATTTGGAAACCTATGCAAATGATGATATCTGCAGTCCCAAGGTACGCCACGGACTCCGCTGGTATATATCGTGTAGGAAACAGCATCGGCTTTTCGGCAATTAGTTCGGATCTCTGATTTCGGCAATTATCGCCTCGCAGTTCGGAGCTCTCTGATTTCGAGAAAGGTATAATTATCGGGTATCACAAATGTGGCCAATCCTTAAGGGACATATCTAGCGATCTGAAGTACCCAATATCGACAGTGGCCTATGTGATTAAGAAGTGGAAGGTGAGGGGTGATTGTCGGAATGTGCCCCGAGTCGGCAGACCAACGAAACTGGGGGATAGAGACCGATGAGTGCTGTTCAGAGAAATTCGGAAGAACCGCACACAACCGATGGCCCTCATCTGCAAAGAGTTTCAACAGGCATGCTGGAGTATTGTTTCAATGAATACCATCCGTAAGGAAGCACATCTGCTTGGTTTTCATGGTCATGCTGCTGCCCATAAGCCTTTGATCACAAAGTCCAACCACGCTGCTCGGTTAATGTGGTGCAAAGCACATCGAAATTGGACCGTAGATCAGTGGAAACAGATTCTTTGGAGTGACGAATCAGGGTTCACCCTTTACCGTTCGGATGGCAGGGTCTGGGTCTGGCGTCTACCTGGAGAACGTCTCTTGCCAGAATGCATTGTGCCAACAGTCAAGTTCGGCGAAGGTGGAATTATGGTCTGGGGGTGTTTCTCCTGGTATGGGCTGGGACCCTTGGTCCCCATTCATGGTAAGCTGAACTCCGATGCCTACTGCACTATTTTGGGATGACAATGTGCTTCCTACGTTGTTGCGGCAGTTTTACGGGTTGGACCCCCCTGTTACTTTCAGGACGACAATGCCAGTTGTCATGTTTCGACGTTAACCAAGGCTTGGTATGGTGCCAATGGAGTTCATCAAATGGACTGGCCTGCCCAGAGTCCAGACCTGAACCCTATCGAGAACCTCTGGGACGAGTTGCATTGCCGAATTCAGGGGTGCACTACCCTTGCAAAATCGGTGAAGGAACTATGTCTTCTATGTCTTCTCCAAGCCAAGTGGAAGAAAATACCACTAGCTGTCATACAAAGACTTGTGGAAAGTATGCCCTGGAGGGTCCACGCTGTAAATACCTCTCGTAGAGGCTCTACCAACTATTGATTTTGAATTAAGTTAGTTTTTCTTTTCTATCACAGGTGTCCAAATACTTATTGGTAGTCAGTGTATTATGAGTACTAATTTTGCAAGTTGTGTAACTCGTGTGGATTTTTTCATCTTAACCTCAGATTTCTGCCAATAAATATAACTAGAAAAGCAGTTAGAATGTTTTTTTTTAAATTTTTCTCTTATAAGTAATAGATAACAGGGATATGGAAATAAGTGATTCATCTGATGAATCTATCAATAGAAGAAGAAATATTGGTACTAATCGGTTTTGAGGGCCGTAAAAAATCGCCAAACTATTGTTGATGCCAATGCTTGCAAAAATAATTGCGGCAACCTTAATGCAAGAAAGGAAGTATAATAGTAAATAACTATCTAAGATTAATGTTTTAATTTAAATGAAAGGTTAATTTCATATGATACTTTTTCATTATTATAATTTATATAAAAAAGGCTAAACATGACTGAATGGAAGATAAGAGTAAATAACTATTTCAGAACATTATTATAATTTATATAAAAATTGCTAAACATAACTGAGTGGAGGCCTGCATCACTATTTCGCTACTGACTTATCACTAAAGCATAATTTCATCTCGTTGGTTGTTCAAACGTAATTTTCTATAAAGAATGATGCCTTTTCTTTGAAAATATTCAGAATCGAAATTCAGAAGTGCAGAATAGCTCACTTATTTGTTTGCCACTTTTTACAAGTGTAAAAAACAATTGGATTTTTGTCAATTTTATTTTACTTTTTAAATGAAAATAGGTCGATGTGTACATAGATAAAGTCAAGGGGGTGCGCAGTGCCATTTTTGTGCAATTCTGGGATTTTTTTTTAAGTGAAAATAGGTCAATGTGCACATAGATACCGAGTATGTGCAATTCTTAAAAACGCATCAAGCATTGAGTGATTCTGCACTTTACCCAAAATTCTATTGCTGACTTTTCATCATGGGCAATTCTCAAATTGTTAAACCCATGGGATATCAAAAAAGGATTTAAAAATTAACCTAGTATTTCAATGGCATCTTAAGAAACATAGAACTATAAACTTGCCCAATCTGAAACCAGAGCATACGCTAGATTTGGCGCCTTTGCGCATACATTTTCGCTGCAATTTTTTCTGTGCAAAAGAAATTAACTCAAGCCGTTATCATTGTGAATGAATAAAAGAGCAGCTAGAAAATTTATTATAATTCAAAATTAATGTTTAGTACTAGTGAAGAGAGTGTATTAAGTCAGATAGTTTTCACACTAAAAATATTAACTGAAATACAAAAGAATAAAACTATAAATTTCACCTCATTTATTATTAATATTTTTATTCAATCATATTTCATTATTAAACATGTTTATTACTTCTGTATCTTGCGAAATAGACTGGCTGCATGAAATTTTTCATAACTTCTTCTCAGTGGGACATGAATTAATGCATTCAAAATGCTAACTTTGTATTAATACTCACTCATTTCTTATGCTTTAAAGTCCCATATACTTTAAAGTTTAATTTAGCATTTGTAGTACAGTCAGAAGTCTTTAATCCGGACGTCCATAATCTGGAATAATCTATAATCCGGACCTAAAAGCTACAAACTTTCTGCACATTTGTAAACGCATAAGCAAAAATATTAAGCCGGATTCAATTAGAAGATTAAGGAACAACACAATCTGCAACATTAACTGAAATAGGTAATTAGATAATTTTAGCTTAGCTTATACTGTCCATCATACATGCGCGTTTAATGTATAATGGACAGTATAAGCTAAGCTAATGCGTTTATGCATGTGCATTTAATGTATAACGGACAGTATAAGCTAAGCTAATGCGTTTAATGTATAACGGACAGTATAAGCTAAGCTAATGCATTTACGCATATGCATTTAATGTATAACGAACAGTATAAGCTAGGCTAAAATTATCTAATTGTCTATTTCAGTTAATGTTGCAGATTGCGTTTTTCCTTAATCTTCTAATTGGATTAATTTTTGCAGACTGTTAGAGCAATTTTATAATAAATAAGCTTGAACTTTGGATTATGTCAAAAAGAGTTTCCGATTCTGGAGCTGCCAAAGGATCTACAAAGCGAAAGCATGTTTCGATGTTCATCAAACAAAAAGTGGAATTGCTGCAAAAACCATTCCGAAATCTGTTTATCAATTTCACACTGCTCTGCGGGGGGGAAACGTTGCGGCGCGCAATGAACTGGAAGTTGATCTGTCAGCACTACCCTTATCTTCAGGGCAGATGTTTTTATTTTATTCAGCTTATAATTTCTTACTAAATGTAGTATTTCGTCTTTGATATGATTTAAATCAAATTCTTCATCATTATAAATATCACGAATACACATCAAATAGTTTTCTGGTTGCAATTTTCTAATTTCGACTATGCGTAATGTATGCTTTACGCATGCTCGTGTTGAAAGAAATGTTTAATAAAGTAAACAAATAAATATTAAGCTTTTTTTTTTTGTGTGTAAATTTTAATACTGTTTAGATTATAATTGCTCTTTATTTTATAAATTACGGTTTCATATTTTTAATTTTATAATTTCTGCATGCCATCTTACCAGATTTAAACTGATGATCTATAATCCGGAATCGCCGAAGTCCCGACAAGTCCAAATTAAAGACTTTTGACTGTATAAGTGTTACTAATATTTTAATTCAGTGCTGCTTTTTAATAACTTTAGCATTTATTTTGTTCGATAAATAAATGAACTAAAAATATAAAACTTATTGTGAATCGATTTTGTAATAAATACTCAAATTATTTCATGTTTTTAATTTTTATCACTTCCAGCTGATTAGGTGTGCAGAAGCAGCAGACTTGTAAATGTGGAGGAGCTATCTGCTTAGTCATGCAGCTTCAAATTCACCACCCTGCATTAAGCTCATTGCTGTGCACAGCCAAGTTAACCATCTTCAGGGCAAGTGGCTGCACCAAGCAAACCCAATGACATTCCAAAAAGGAATGTCAGTCAAAATAAAAACTTGATACCTAAATTTCGTAAACAAGAAATCGGACAATTAAGCTACAAATCTTGTGACCAATTTTTCAGTTGCTGGGCTTAGTGCCGCCATAAAATTAGATGCGAATAAACTGAAGAGCTATGACAGGTATTGTATCTTACCCTTCAATGAAATCAATTTAAAGCAAGCTTATCAGATGATAAGCAAAATGATAGCATCATTGGATATGAAGACTATGGTAATGATTGCAATGCTAGGTGTGAAGGCTATGGGTTCTTACAATCAGCCAAATATAATATCTCAGTATGCTGTCACTATTAAAATTCTAACTTGTTTATTATTATTTCATATTGGTCATATTAGTTCCAGAATGGATGCACTTTTTATATAGAACTATATAAATATAGAAAATCTGAGAAGTTAATTTTCTATGGAAAGCCTTCGTGCAAAATTAATAGCATCTTGTTAGTTTCATATATGTTCATGTGAAAGTAATTGCTGTTGAATTTAGAATATTGCATTATCTGAGATTTGAGACAAAATTTGGTAAATTAGAAGATACTGAAATAGATAAATAGGAAATGAAACTGAAATTTACATATTTATACAGAAATAAATATCTTAATAAAGTGGCTGTATGCAAAGTATAGATAGAATTTTTATAATTTTTTGCTAAAATGCTAAAATTATGTGCTATGAAAAATTTTATTTTCATTAATATTTATAATTTTTCCCTCACAAATTTTTTTCCAAGGTGTCTCATGTTTTAGCTATTTTAGATTTTTCTGTTTTAATGTTAAATATGTCTTTTTTATCAGCATTACATTAAAATCTGTCTCATAATCATTTGAAAATGAAAGAAATTTCATTCTTTTCAATAGTTTAAAAATATTTTCACAAAATATAATTATAGAAAAAATGAACTGATATATTTATAGTTATATATATGTAAAGAAGAATGTTTGAAAATTTCATGATATGTAATATTAGTTAACCTAATATGTAAAAGGAAAGTTTAATCAAATAATTTTTATTATGCTGTAATAAAAACCACTGTAATTTTAAAAGTTATTGAATTTGAAAGCTAAAGAAAAAAACTACAGTTATTTGAAACTCTTTAATAAAACAATTATTTATTCTTGTATGATAATTTTCTGTATATTTAACATAAAATTGTATGCATGTAAATAAAATTTTTATTTATTATTTTAATTGTGTTAGCTTCAATTTTTATTCTCAATAAATCTGATACATGTATTTAATATTCAGCTAAGTTTTATTAACTCTGATTTAATTGTTGATAAGCATTTTAAATTTAATCCTGTCAAAAAATTAAATTTCCCTTTTAATTTGGTAGTTTATTCATACAACTCTCATTTCCTGTTTAATTGTAATAGCATACTTATAATTTTATAAAGCATACCTCCCTTCCCTGAGGAAAAAAGTACACAAATTCATTCTTAATTTAAAATTCAATCATGAGATCAATGTGAAAACGAGTATGGCCAATGGAACAAAATAACACATATGTCTTCAATAGAGAACAACATATCTGTAATTCCCTTAGCTTCATTTATCCCATTAAGCTTCTTTACCTATTAAAAAAAATTCTGATTCCCCCCCCTTGAGTGCAAAGTCATCAATACCGCTAATGGGATTACACATTTGGTGCCCCTTAATGTAGAAGAATTAATGTTACTTTTCATAGATAATGTTACCTTCATTCGATTTTAAAATAAGCATAAATTTGTTTTCTGTTTTGTTTATCAATATTTATTTCAAGATTAACACATCTGCAATTTACATTATTTATACATTGTTACTGTTATTAATCTTATTATATTTTATGGATTGTAAACTGACTCTGGATGAGGGAAATTTCCATTATTAAATATTTTCTGTTAGCTTAAATAAAACAAATAAACAGACGCAGAATGTTTGAAATAGGTTTTATGTTTAGTATATTGACTGTTCTAAGGATGGAAGAGTGTTGTAAAAATATAAAATGTAATTTTGTAAAATTCTTAGGTTTGTCAAAGCAAGAAATAGAACAAATATGCAGTGCCAGACTTAATTATCGAGGCTCAGGATGGAAATCTCTTTTGGGCACCACTTATCGGAATGATCACCATACAAAATGTCAACACAAATATAAAATTAACATTTATTTAATTACAATGAAATATTTGAATTGATTTGAAAAGCAAAGGTCTTAAGATTAAGGAAAAAAATTGCATTTAGCAAACAAGTTTATATTTAAAAAAGCTTATTAATCAGCTATTTTTGATGATTGTTAAATTTTCTGTAAATAAAAGAGCTATAACTGTTTTTAGTGAATTTTGACTTATAAAAGTTTGTTTATAGTTTCGTCAAAAATTCAATGTTTAGCTACCGTATTTTCAATGCAAAAAGACTGCCAAGCCGTTAAATCTTGGCGTATTGTTGATCAAAGATAGCTTTTAATCCACTTAAACTTCAAAAGCTTCTCTAGCATGGAGCAACTGAAACATACACTGTCAAAAAAAATCTTTAGTGCCAAATATGAGTTAGGGATTGATTCTCCCAATACAGACCACATTTTAACTTCGTTCCTTAATATATACTTAAAAAACTTAATGTTCTTCGGAGGCCTCTCCTCTTAATCAGTGGCCTGGCTGGCTGTTTTTTGCCTAGCCAGAATATGAAAAGGTGCAATACCCTAGCCGAATTTTCGCTTGCTAGCAATACTACTTATTTCTAATTACACCACGAGGTCATGCGGTAATAAAGGAGAAAATTCCCTTACATTCTCCCCCACTTTAAGGGCGACTAGGAAGGTGGGGACCCAGTTGCTAAATCCTGATAGTGACATATTATAGTCTACCACATTTTACATCGGGCGCCAATAGACAGGAAAAATATACGTTGTCCTCGCCTTATTTTTGAACTCCTAACCTCATGATGGCTAGGCAGACGGGCTTTCGATTATACCATGAAGGACCGCTTTAAAGAGGAAGAAATACCTATACCTCTTCCTATTAATAATGATTAATTTTTTTCAAACTTGTTTTCCGGTAAATTAAATTAATATAGCGTCATGTTTTACTAGCTTTTACCCGCGGCTTCACTCGCGTTGATGTCCTTAAATAAGTTTCAACTCCGAGAGAATTTTAAAAATACACTCCGCGTGAAATTTCAGTAAATACTGCCCTTCTTCAATACCTATAGACAGCGGATATGTTGTATTTACGCGGAGTGTATCGCCACGAAATCTAGTAAAACTGCAACGTATATTTCGTAATGACTGAAAAATGTTTGTGAAAGAAGAGCCCAAACCCGGAAATTCTGAAGGATTTTAAATAATAAATTAAATTAAACAAATAAAAATTAATAACTGTTACGCGTTCACGCCTTAATTACTTAACCAATCATCAAGAAATATTTTTGATATATTAGAAAAGTTTATAAATTAAATATCTATTGTCTATAAAATGTTTGCCTGGTTTAAGCCAAGCACCTGCGCGAGCAGACAAACTTTTACATCGTTTAACATTTACTGTTTATACCACGACAATCATTTTAACTATAAAACCTATTATATAGTATAAGTTCCAACAGATAAGTTACATTTTATAGCCTATAACCTTTTCTAATATATCAAAAATATTTCTTGAAAATTTCATGATGATCGGTTCAGTAATTAAGGCGGGAAAGCGTAACAAACAAACTCGCATTTATAATATTAGTTAGGATTATATAATATTAAAAACATTTTTTTTTCCGTTATGAGATAAATGCAAATAACCTTGCTTTGTGAAGTTCCCCACTTTAAAGCTAACCTCTCGTGTGCATCGGCAAAATACAATTCATCTTTCTGTTATATATACAGGCTGACTCAGAACTCATATCTTTAACAAAAGTCAAACGAAATAAACCGTATTTATATAGGGCAACAAGGCCAGAAACAGATAAATCTGTATTGTGTGCCACTGCTCCTGGTAGGCACTAGGAAAGCTTTCTGATTACAACCACAGAGTATATACCGTTTTACGAATTCAGAATTTGAAGACATTCACTTCGTGTATCAAACAGCTGACGGTAAACAACGAGCGGTTAATCTTTGGATTATGGTAACTTGGCGAAAATTTGGCGACCAACCCTGCTACAGCAACCTGCTAGTTTCTGTTTGGACGCCATTTTATTTTCACGAACTAAAGGCATATTTTTTTTTTTTTACTCAACATTTTTTTCCAACAATCTGCTAGCCGCATTATGCTTATGCTACAGTCAAAAGTCGTTAATCCGGACTCGTCGGGACTTCGGCGATTCCGGATTATCGATTTTGCCTGATTATAGATCATCAGTTTAAATCTGGTAAGATGGCATGCAGAAATTATAAAATTAAAAATATGAAACTGTAATTTATGAAATAAAGAACAATTATGATCTAAAGGGTATCAAAATTTACAAAAAAAAAAAAGCCTAATATTTATTTGTTTACTTTATTAAACATTTCTTTCAGTGTAAGTTGTTTAAGTTGCTTCGTTTTATGTGATAATACTTTCTCTTTAATTCTATAAACAGACATAATTTTTTCTTCAGTTACAAAGTTCCGCTCTTGAAGTACTATAATTGCTGCGTCGAGAATACCGACTAATTTGTCAATCGAAATTTTTCGTTTTCAATAACCTCTGTGTCACTTTCTTCACTATCGGAAGCGAATTATAATGACGAGGAATTTGATTTAAATTATATCAAAGACGGAGTACATCGAGATGAAATACTACATTTAGTAAGGAATTATAAGCCAAATAAAATAAAAACATCTGCCCTGAAGATAAGGATAGTGCTGCTAGATCAACTTCCA